TTTTAAAGTTCCACGATATTATAATAAAACACTTTTTTATTATTTCTTTCTGCACCTAAAGTATACATCCATAAATATCACTCTAAGTAGTCCATACTTAATTGTGGTAGCATGTGAATTTAAATATGTATTTAAGAAATGGAAGATGACTTTGTTATGTTTAATTTTGAAGCCATCAAAATACAAATAGATTTCTTTTTAATATAGGAGAGGCGATTTTAGAAGAAATTCTCATCGCATCTTTGTCTCCGATTTCATAACTAACATGAATCTAAGAGAAAAATATTAGAGGCCCATAGTGCTCCCAAAACTTTAGTAAATGAATGTTGATAAACCAAAGAGTTCAAACTAATGTGTAATAGCATATTCGAAACTCAAATCTTATTTCATTTATGATCTAGCATGTGATTGTAGAAAACTACCTCTCATTTAAAAGGCTTTCACATCAGTCATCATTGCCCATTAAATGTAATTATTTCAATTCAATAAAGTATAATGCACCAACAAGCAACCCAAATAAGTGGAAGCTACATGGGAGATGCCCATTCTTGAATCTTTCTCATTCACAGTAAGAAATTCTAAGACCCATAAGAGTCATAAACCATATGAAACGCTTAATTCATCAACTCTAATTGTATTTGCTATACAAGATAAATATTGGAGCCTCAGATTGAACTAAGTACATTAACAAATAGACACTCGTCAACCTAAAAACTTAAAGACAATGAGTAAGAGCTACTACTATTATAATAAAAAAATATTTATCTCACCAATGATGTGAAACTATTATATAATTTCAAGTGGATACTAACATTTTCTATTATAATTTATCCTGCAATACACGTCCATTTAAATCAAACCTAATAACTATTCTTTCTTCTCAAATATGCATTTAAAAGCTTATCAATCTCTTCCCATAATTAATGTTTCAAATTAAAAAATTTAGGTATTAATCATTATTTATAATATCATCATTAATAATTAACTAGATCAAAACTAAAACTTACTTCAAGAATATTATATTTTGCCCCTTCAACCACTACTATCTAAATCTTATTTCTCTTATTAAACATTTCAATATACAATAGCTTATAACATTGTCTAACATCCTCAGACTTCTCATTCTATTTAGTCTTTTACACACAAATAATATTTATTGTCACCTGATTATTGTGTTAGCCAATTCTCTAACCTTTCCATTCAAGATCTCCAAATTCAATCTAATATTAGTTTTAGACCTACCCAACCTTTGCTCACTTTACACTGCAAGCTAGTCACATTGCCTTTTACCACTTGTCAGAAATATCATAGTCAAACATTGTCTACCTTTTAGTACAATAGGATTAATTTGTGGTGTGTTATTAATAGGTGACATCCTAGTAAACCCTTCTCATTACAATTAGGTAAGGTGATAAAGAGTCATTTCTAGAGAACAACAACAAACCTTTATCCCAGTAAATGGGGTCGGCTACATGAATCCTTTTTTCTCCATTGCGTCTTATTGAGTGACATATTTTCATTTAATTCTAACAGATTAAGAGCATTTTTTATAAAATATGCCTAATTCTTTTAATGTCTTCCTTTGCCTTTCTTAACATAAGTGGAATCTAAAACATCTATGTTCAATTCAATTCATGAATTTCCTCATAAATTTTAAAATCCGTTGTCAACCAATCATCAAGACTTGACCTTTTTCATGAGTTTTAACACTACAAATAGTATTTACTGAAAAAAAAAAGAGAGCTAAACATATCTTAATATTAACAAAAAATATACAGTGTCAGCATTGAAACATAACAAAGTGGAGTCCAAATTTTTTTTAATTAGGGAAGGAAAAATATGTAAAAACAATTTAGATTGTAGCAAGCATATGAGTTTACCTGCAAAACTGAATATGGGGTAACAAGTACCCACAAATCTCAATGTTGCAATTGTACTACTTCAATTTTATTTTGAACAATAGATTTAGAATAAAAAATTTAGAAGTAAAATAAAGATAAAAATACTCAAAGTAAAAATATTGAATAAGAGATACAAAAAATCTAGCATGATTAGTATATTTACTTCATTGGGTCACTAAATTAAGCATAATAAATATTTTAATATAATCATAATGTAAGCTAGTTTCACTCAAATAAAGTAAATTTTGTTAACAATATAAAATAAAAGATCACCATATCTAATATCAAATATGTTCCTTATAATAAACAGAGACATTCTTAGAAAAGAAACTATTTAAGGAATTATAATCAACATTGCAGCTATCATTTACACAAAGTTCATGTATCTGCTAGATAGCCAACAAGACAATATTTTGCAATGTAAGAACAAAATTGGGTGGCTAGAAAAATGATATGAATTCACTGTTAGTTAATTTAGTTGTTATTATTGACTAATTAAGAGTAATTAGCTATAATACCGATTTTGAGAGAAATGACACGGAAAAATAATGAATGAATTTTTCTTTTATTTGTCTTTCTTTTTTTCTTATTTCTTTGTCAATGTTAAATTAGGGTCAAGTATCCTAACATTGGTGCTTTCATTGAAAATGCCTCAAACCTACTCCGCTGCAGTCAGTTCAAAATCAGCTCATCTTTATTGCAGATTCAAAATTTGAGTACAACAACAAGCGATAAAGCAGAGCAAGCATAAAACTGTCTCAATTTCAATAGTTAATGCAGTAAAGTACAAAAGCCTTTAGTGATTAACAATTGAAATGATTTTCACATTTGACACAGCAAGATCTAGTCGCATAAGATTACACCTCCGTCTTACCTCAAGATTCTGCATCACATCATGTTTGCATACTTGATTTTGCCCACTGATATGTTTGCGCCATCAATTCCTCCAGAAATTTGCCTTTATCAAAATCATAACACTCCTGTCAGTTTAAGCTATTTCTGTTGCTATAGCTTTCGTTTCCCTTAATGCTTCATCATCCTTCGCTCAGGATCATGCAATATGCTACGATCTCCATTTTGTATGATATTTCATGTAGCTAATTTTAAGATTTATCCTTGTGCTTCTTGTATCCCAATCCCTCAAACTTCACCAGCCATTACTAATTGCATTTATCATCAATCCTTTAAGATTACACCAATTAAAATCCCGACATCATCTGCACCATTCACATCTTCCCGAATCACACCATGTTAATCCACGAAACAGATGCCAAGATTCATTTGAGAACCTTTAACCATTCCCTAGTGCCTCCACATCAATCAATAAAAAGCATAGTCTAATTTTTATTGCAACTAGCATGAAGACTTTCAAGCAATCTACAAATCCCAACTTTCATGGCATTTCTCATAATTCTAGCAGGTCCTTCCACGATTTTCCCATAGAATTGCTCAATTTGCGAATCCGTTCTTGAGCTACAATCAACCTTCCTCCATTTCTCATATGCCAATGTCCCCAACCTATCCCCTTAAGCATCCTCTCCGAGTCCATCATAGTCCGTAATCCGACTATGACCGCATGTCCTCCTAAATAAATATATACTTTTTAATGGATGATGGCATTCATTTGATTGAGAAGCATCTTGGCAAAAACTAACGAATAAATTTCTTCAATTACATTAATTTTAAATGATAAAATACGATATTTTACGCACATGGAGAACAATTTAAAAATAAAAGACATCCTGAATTAGCACATTAAGAGAGTCATATCAGTCATACAAGAGTGGTTAAAATAGTCACTCCAAGTTGCAATGAGAAAAATTCACAAAAATGGATGACAAATTTATTTTGAACCAAAATTTATATCATGTGCAACATTTTATAATTTTCTTGGTATATATGAATAGTCTAACATTATGTTGCTACCCCTAATACAACAACAACAAGCCGTTAACCCACTAAGTGAGGTCAGCAAAAGTATTTATGTCATAATTTTTTTTTTTTGACAAAAAATTTACGCTGATTGTCGACTACCTAACACAACCCTCTACTTTCACATCCGGGGCTTAGTTCAATATTATGTTACTACCATTAGATGCCCTTAAAAATATACTTTAATTTTTAAAAATTCTTCAAATAAAATATACCGCAATGTTTTGACCCTCCTTTTCACAGGCATTGAGCATAATCTTGGAGATCAATCATATAAAATGAGAATCACAATAACGCAAGCCTATTTGCAAAAGAAATTGTGTAAAATGTTAATGAGATATGGTAATAGCATTACAACTAATGCATAAAATTGATTAAATAGTATGGTCAAGCAAATGACTACCACATTTATGAGCATTACAGTTAGTGCATAAGATTTACCAAATAGTATGGTCAAACAAATGACTAGCACATTTATGGGCACCAAGAAATGGATTGAAGTAGTTCATTAAATGCCTAGATATCAACATATACTGCTAAGACTTCCTTGTTGCTCTAGTGCATAATAAAAATCAGTTGAAAATTATAGTTAAATGGATGGCCACCACCTATATTGGATTTCCTCGGAAGTTCAACCTTGAGAACAAAGTCATTGTGAGAACCAGTGTAATCATGTGGATCCACCTATCTTCGTTTACTAGATTAATTTGGACTTGTTAACTTAAGACATTCAAAAAACACCCCATTTGGGATATTATGAGACATAAAGAATAATAAACTATTTACCACCTTTATATTAGTTTTTATCTTTCTTTTCACTCTTTGGGAGTTAAACAACAGGATCAAGAATCTTATCAAAACAACCATTTCTATGTGGTCATATATTATGTATGATAGACTAATACAATAACAACAACAACAACAAAACCTTTATCCCACTAAGTGGGGTCAGCTACATGAATCATTTTTCTCCATTGCATCCTATTTAGCGTCATATTTTCATTTAATTCTTATAAATTAAGATCATTTTTTACACAATATGCCCAAGTCTTCCTAGGTCTATTTTTTTCTTTCTTAATAAAAACCAAATCTAATACATCTACTCTTCTAATCGGATCATCGGATAGTCGACATTTAAAGGAACAACATATTTATTTCTACAACTCTTTTAAAAATTTGATGAAAATTACAGGTAACTTTTTGGGAAAAGTGGCATAAACGATGGTATGGATATTCCAACTATAACAAATGAATTAATACAAATTTGGATCCTACCTCAATGATTCAACGAATGAGGCAGAGATGGATCCTATAAGTGTTTAAAAATTTATGAACCACCTGGCCACAAAAATATCTCGAATGCACCAGCAATAATCTGCATGTTACCGAACATCATGATGATGCAAATTCATTCCTGAGGCTCAACTGACTCTCTTAGCTCAAAACTCACGACTGATCCCGTTGTTCATTTTTCCAAGAACTTTTAGCAGCTTCTGCAGATAAACTACCGGAATCGCTGTTAGCATCCTTTGGTTTTGAAAAGAAAGGATCCCATTCATGAGCTCCTACTGTCTGTTTCCCTTCCTCCAGTAAAGCATACTTCCAGCTATTCTCCTCCACAAAATCCTTATCTTCACGATCTTCCATTATCTCCTTTCGAAGTTTTGTAACTTTGTTTATCACTGCCTGAACCGAAACATCAAAGGCATCCCTAAGAGTCTCCAATTTTGACCTTGGATCAGCATATACAATGCTCGGAATTAGGTTTATGACCGCCTCCCTCATAGCTTTCACAACGTCTGGAGAAATCAGCTTTAACCTTTCCTCTATGCTAACATTGTTTTTCCGAATGTCATCCTCTGGAATAAAAACAGAATATTTTGCATAATCCCTTGGAAGATGCCATGTATACTGTGTGTATGCTGAACCAGGGTGGAAAAAGACTGGTATGCAACCAGCCAACATTGAGTCAAAAGCAGATCTCCGGGTATAAGAATCCCCTTGAGGTTGCAAACAAAACAGTGAACTCTGAAACATCTGCATAATGCTACTAGGTGAGTGGCATTTGCTCTCTCCAAAATCACATTCCAAAAGCTTACAAGAAGAGGTTCTCTTGCACTGGTCCAAAATTTGCCCTCTGATGGATTTTGGATTGCCTGGGCGAGGTGCCCCAGCAAATGAGAAAAGCCACTTCCGCTCCAAGTTCCTCATTCTATCCTGCCAAGCAAACACATCTGAATCTTTAGCAGGGTGAAAATATGTTGGATATGGTATCCCAAAATCGTTTGCATTCCAAGGACTTGATTCAACAACAAGCATAGACATATTCTTTGCCGCAGGCAAAAACAAAAGCTTGTTCCCCCAATCAGAATCAGTATCAGTCAACCTCCTAAAATCCCAAGTAATCCTCCCTGCAACCAAGAAATGGTCTCTTCCACCCATCACATTCCACTCAGGCCGTTTCATCAGCCAATTCACCAAATCAAGCGAAGCTGAATCTCTCATTGATATGTTATACCCCCAAAGGTACCTGGCTATGTCAAAACCAGCATAGAAGGGCACAAAGACAGCTGCAGCAATGGAAGAATCTTTTGTCAAGCACTCATACTGCTTCATCCTATTGCTGAAGATCACGTCCACTGCAAACTGGTTTGTGGCATACCATCCAGTATTTGAGAAAACCCCTTCTACATTATCGAGTGGAGGACCAAGGCCAGCGTTGCTAGTGAACTTGCACATGTTGGTCCAAAGGCTGAGTTTCCGGCAATCCCTAAGCATGTCTTCGTTGAACCGAGAAGGGAGATCGTGAACATAGATGTACCTCCCGCCGCATGGATCGCTCTTGTTCTCGGCTATCCTGAGGGCACGCATAAAAGGGAATTTCCTCTTTGCGGGCATCGTCCTTGTATGCGAAATACGGTTTTCCACACCATGGAGAAAATGCTGCTCCGGATACGATGAGGTCGACGGGAACGAGACAGCTTGCGTGGATTGATCGGGAGGGCTACTGCTTAGCACGGTAAAATGGAAGTAAAAGATGAAGAACCAGAACACAGCCGCAAGCGAGGCGAGAAAGCATAGACGGGAACGAGGGGTTTTTCCGTTGGACTTGTCCATATCTTTGTGGGTTATAGAGACCGGTAAGCGCCGTCTCATTGGATTCTAAGCTCGTAGACCTTCTTCATCAATCAGCGAATCAGATCAATGAACCCCTAACCCTAGGAATCCACGAATTATGCCCAAAAACAAAGAAGAAGAAAGGGCTTGAATAAAATTCAATTTCAACGAACCCTAACAACAAAGTTGACGATTGAGATCAAAAAACATATCAAATTTCAATGTATTCCACAAGGACGGATTCGTGAAGGAAGGATAGCAGGAGCCGAGATCCAAACAGACAACAGAGAAGGCGTGGCTTCCCTGCTTCGGAGAATCAGGCGGCCGAATTTTGGAGGGGGTTTCAACGTGGGAGCTGAAACCGGGGCTCTGCGTATATTATATATAATAGAAGGAGAGGACGGGCGCTTTCTGTCAGGGGTGCACTCGCCCTTACCCGTCGATTGCCAGCAACGAAAATCTGCCACGTCGGAAGTGACGGTGAGGTGTCCGTAACTGTACAGCGGCCATCGCCGTGGAAACAATTGGATTTGGCCGGTTATAAACTGGGAGAGATTTACGGATACTGTACTTTGTTGTATGTTATTTCCTTTACAAAAATTGAGATTTAAGGTAAATCTGTTCTGATTTATTCTTTTTAACATCAAACTGAAATTTTTAATGGTATATAATGACTAAAAAAATTATTTTTCATTAAGTTAACCCTTTTTGCAGCAATTGGGCGCATATTTATTTTTAAAAGAACAACCCATAAAGAAAATAATTATTGCATGTTCGATGATTTGTGACAAAAAAGTGATAATTTGAAGTTGTTGTTTTGTAAAAAGATCCAACAGACAAATAATTTGAAAGTTTTAGGAGAACGCATCAAGATTTTTTTATGTCAAAAAACCCTAAAAAGAAAAAGATCAGATACCTAGACCAATCCAAATAATTCACTATAAGTGTGTAATAATAAAGATACAACGTTGTCTCATAATTAGGAAAGAAGCTTTACAACGCTACACTAAGTACAACGCTAGTATGTGTGCATATACAACGCAACACTATGTTTTATGTAACGCAAAATACATAAAACTTCAGGAGCGAGAAAAATGTCGTTGTATTATGAGTATGGTGTTTGTAAGTAGTTATCACTAGAATTTATTCTCTGATCTGTAATGTGGCGTTATGGGTTATGTATTATGTTGTTTTTATGACGCTTCATTACACCGTATTCAAGATAATTTGTTATACCCTATTCAGGATAATTCGTTACATAGTATCCATGGATTCATCATTACACAACATAGCTTGCTGACGACACATAGTAGGAGCGACTGGTGATGATTGATGATGGTCGGCGGGTAGTGGTCGACAGTTGACAATGGCTACAAAGCCCAAAGTTATCTTCAAGTCTTCAGTCTACAACATCACTCGAATTTAACTCCTTCCCTCCCCCCAAGCGAAGAGACAGGGTCTATTTATAGCCCCCCTAGGCGAGGAGCTTTTTGTTCATTTGGCAAATAACTAACATAACCACCCAATCAACGACACACATTGCTTCACCTTGATCATAGAGAGTTTGTTGGTGATTTGAGGGCCTTAATGATCTCAAATAAGTGATCTTGAGCTCTTTGGATTCCTCTCATCCAGACGCTTGATCTAACTATAGTTATGTGAACTTTAGAGTTCATTTGATCATGAATAGTAAATTTTCTAAATCTTCCAAATGTGCTTAAAATATATGGTAAAAATCCAAAATTTTTGCATAGAAGCAAAGCTCTTACCTCAAGGAACTTGGATCTAGCAAATCTCACTTGATTCCAC